TCAGGTATGCAGAGCAGGAATTAAAAAGTATTTCTTAGATGAGATTTTTCCAGAAGCAGACTATAGTCTAAGATTATTTTATGGAAGGGTTTTTTTGTTTGATTGTTTGTTTGTTTGTTTGTTTCAGTCTAGATCTTACTGTGTTAGACACAGTGCTGGAAAGAAAAAAAAAATTAAAGTACTTGTTGCTTATGAACTAATTCATCAGAATATACCGTTATGTGACTTACTTTCTTATATTATCTTTTAACCTCAATTTACATTGACTTGTTTTGATAGCTATCAGCTTGATTTTTTTTGAAGAACGTTAAGCTTCAGTTACACATTTCCATCACAAATCTCAATTTAAAAAACACCTTTTATAATCAAAAGTTTACTTGATTTCATACTTTCTAGCATAGCTAAAAATGTTAATATTAGAATTTATAAAAATAACCCTTAAATACGAGTGTATTATTTTATAAAATTTAAGATATGTTTACATTTATAAGAATTTTTTGTAACGAGGATTGAACTCATGACCTCACACTTGCCAAGCAGAAGATGCCAAGCAAATGGATTTTGAAAAACTATTTGAAAAATAACCTAATGAAAATATTTTCAGTTTAAAAATCATTTGGGATTTAGCTTAGCAGCATAACTCCCTGCTTAGCAAGCACAAGGTTGCAAGTTAAATCCCTGGTTAAAAAAAAAAAAGCCTATAAACAAATAAATAAATAAAAATCATTTGTTTTGTAAACACTTTATAGACTCATGTCACTTCCTAATTTGTAATGATTGTCACCGACTTGCTTTATATCTGATACTCAAAATAGTTTTGAATAGTTTCTTTTCCCTGACATTTCTATTTGTCTTTTTGCTGAGTTTTTATTTCCTTTGCTGGGCAGAAATCCAAGGGTAGTTAAGTAGAACTATTTAGTTATACTTCACTCAGAATTCAATTGCAACTGCATGAAGATGACTCTTTGAATTGAAAAATCCTTCAGTGTTTGGTACTAATATATATTTGATTTCCCAAGAGACCTGAGCCACATAGAGAAGTAAATAATATGAATTTTAAGATGCATGTCAGCAATGTATTTACCATTTACCAAATTATTTTTGCTCTATTGTTAACATTTATGTTAGGAAACTTGATTTGAAGTATTCTAACAGGCAAAGAGTGCCCCAGCAAAAATATTTAATTATTTCCAGATTATTCATTGAGCTTGTAAACAAGATCAGCCATCAGATTTTCTAGATGAAATTTGGAAATGATCGAATTCTTCAGTTGGTACATGTTCTGACCCATTTTGTAGGTGCGTATACTTGCCCCATTGACTTCAGTTTGTTCTCATCTTTGTTGACAGTGACTTCAGGAATCTCGAGGTTGAACATGTTCCATTTTGAGGTCATCTGATTTCCAGATATAGGGCATATTTTCTTAGAATTTCTTCAAAACTAGTTGATGACAGCTTCTTTCAAATAATAAAATAGCCAGTAGATCAACATTAAATTTTATTCTTGCTAGTTTGACAAAAATTGACCCATTTAAAGCAATTGGATCTGATTCTCCGAATCATGCCTTAGAAGGAGTGCTATGAGTATTCTTGATAACAACTCAAACCCCCCAAAATCATGGGTTTTCAGCACAGCATGATTTCATGTTTTGGGAAATCCATGGCTGCTACTACTCTGTAATACTGAGAATAAATGTCTCTGATTGTCTTTATAGCTGTACCTTTACTTTTAATGCTATATTTCCATGCTCAACATTCTTCAATTAATACATAGTTATTTCTAGAGCAATCAGTGTACACTATTCAATTACTTGGTTGAATCACACAATTGTACATCACATAGGCCGTCACTTTAAAGGCGTTATTTATATACTAATAGGTTCGTAAATTTCTTTGGATTATTTGTATTCTGTAGACTCATTCTGTCCTTTGCTATTAATGTTTTCTACTATATCAGTGAATGTGTACTTATGGACTGATGGAAGACTTTCTACCTTATCAATATGCTCTGCACACCCCACTGGCATTGTGTCTCTGAGTGACATATAGTCATATTATAGTGATACTCTCTGTTCTATAAAGCATGATGAACTTTTACTATCTCTAATACAACAGTTACCATATATTTTCACTCATTTTTTCACAATTTTGTGTTATTATTTTTGAAGTGTTCGTACTAATTTAATGGCACATTGCTATTTTTGTGTTATGAAAAAAATTCTTTTCATTTTACACGAATATTGCCATTTTAGAAGCTCCTTTTTTTTGACAGAATCATTGCCTATAATACAGAAAATGTTTTATATTATCTCCAGTACAAAATAAGGGAATGTCAACTTTCTGGATGACATAGAGCACTGTGTCACTGATGTCCACGCAAGAAAACCTGCCTGAAAACTGTCATGAGTCAGGAGTTTTACTTTTATTCAGTGATATTAAATGTACTCTCTTTTGAAGTCTATTTATTTTATGCTATATATTATTGTATGAGGACATATTAGTTACACAGAATACTGCATTTTAAAAATTATTTTGGAACAGGAATGTGATCTGGTATTCACTGTTATAAAATTCCAAACTCTTCACATCTTTGAGATTTATCAAATTAGCCTATCATGTTTGCCTTCCCGATCAAAATATTTAATTATCACTCAGCTTCCTAACAAATTTCTTTATATCCACTCATTCCTTCCAACAGTATTTTTTTTTCTTTTTTATCGGTACTGGGGCTTGAACTCACGACTGCCTGCTTGCCAGGCAGGCACTTATGCCCAAAAGTACTTTTATTATCTCCCATGTCACTTCATAATTCTAGATTTCCCTCTTTGGAGTGCTCTTAGCTTTCTGCTATATCCTCTCTACATTTATATTGACTTTTAGTCTTAAAACATTGTATGCCTTAGTGCTAATACTTATCTTTTAAAGGTTTTTCTAGCTAGGACTGTATTGTTTTCATTACCTTAAATATGTGCTGCATTGCATCAAATCTAAGATATCTATACAGAAAACACATTTGAAGTCCACGCCCATAAATTAATCTATTTTTTCCTCCCTACATTTAGGTAGTTAGCATCTGAAGCATATTATAGTTAAGGTATCAATATCACCTAAACTATTTATCATTAACTGTTTCCTAAAGAAATGAGTCTATTGATTCCATACCAAAAAATACTGTGCATGTACACAACACACACACACACACACACACACACACACACACACACACACGCACACACACACACACACAAGCCATTAATAATTTGTCTCTTTACAAATATCACTCTAAAAGTTTTAGATTTTTGTATGTACAACATGGCCCCATTTTTTGTAACTCATGCCATTTACATCAATTTTAACAATTTTTCCAAGATGATTTCTTTCCATATAAATTGTTTGTAAATTTATGCAATATAAGATTAAAATAGTCACTGAAATTTTTCCAGCAAATGATTAAATCTGTTATTCATTTCATTCAAAATTCTTCCAATTTTCTTCACAACAGAGATAAAGTTGTTGGGGTGCGGCCCAGGACTGCAGACCTGCCCCGAGATGCCCATCTGGTTCACGCTTCATAGCCACGTTGACCCACGTAGTCTTTATTTGCCCCTACCTCATCATAGCACTGGGGTCAAACCCAAGGCCTTCACACTGAGCAACGCATCCCCAGCCATTTTATTTAGATTTTTGAGACAGTGTCTCTCTATATTGCTCTGACTGCTTTTACTTTTTTTCTAATTTACCCAAGACTTTTATTTAATTAACACCTTTGCACTTATTTCCCTCTATTCTGAATATTCTTCTGCTACCATTATTCTCATTTTGCATAATCAGTTTATTTTTATCTTTAGGTCTAGATGAAACACTACCTTAGCTGAGATTTAGCAAGTATTAGAACAAAAGTGACCATTTTTCTCCTTAAATAGTTCTGAAAATAATTTAGGAAAATTCTGGAAAGTATAATTATTGGCTACATTACTTGCTTAACTGCGGGGTGCTCACCCTTGCTGAATAAGAATAACCCCACAGCATAGTGAGATTTGCCTGCCTGCTCTTCCAGCTGGGCACACTCATTCCTGCACCATCACTCTCCTTGGCTGGGAATTTAAGGCATCACCTCTACACCGCGGGTCTCATCCTTCTGCTGGAGTGAGTGAGCAGATGAAGCATGCTGTCCTTGTTAAATGGCAGGGCATCTGTGGAAATGTGGAAATGTTTATGAATCCAAGAGCTGGGCTAGGGGGCTGGGGATTTAGCTCAGCGGCATAGGTGCCTGCCTTGCAGGTGCAAAGTCATGAGTTCGATTCCTGGTATAAAAAAAGGGGGAAAACATCCATGAAGAAGACCTGGGAAAGGGTGACTATTACCACTTTCAGTACAAATGTAAGCTGGAGGCCAAAGCTAATATGAATAAACCTGGCCAAGTTATAGGTCAGGCTGGTGCTATTGGTGATTTATACTTTTACTTCTAGTGAGTTCTTATTAGTTAACTAATCACAGATTTGTTCAAATAAAGTAATAAAGAATACAGGTAAGCATTGTCAATGCTTTTCATTTCACTCTAGTCTTCAAATCTCAGCTGTAATAAAATCCCAAGACAAATTTACCTAAGAAATCTGGGATTGTAAAAATGTTGCTCATACAAAGAGATGTTATATTCTACCATTTTTTCCAACATAACACTAGCACTCCAGAAATGATTTCTTGCTTCCATCTGATGCTACTATTTACTTTTATTTCATGAAGTTTGATTTTTTTAAAAACTTAATGTATGAATAATTATAAGCAATATACTTCAGGGATAGTTAAGAATTGAGTGAAAAATCATTACTGTAGCTTCTGTGTTAAAGTGCTGTCGATCATGTGTGAAAATCTTTAAAGTGAAGTATAAAAATTAAAGTACCCTTGAATATTTTAAGCATTTGTCTTAGTTTTTGATTCAGTTTTATTTTCCCCATTATAGCCTCAAGGAAAAAAGACCACTGCCTTTTTTTTTCCATATAGATACTTCATCAACTACAGTGTTGAAGAGGACAGATTTTTCAACATTGACGCCAATACTGGAACCATTAAGACTTCCAAGATTTTGGATAGAGAAGAGACTCCATGGTACAACATCACAGTTGCTGCTTCAGAAAACGGTAAAGTTAGCTTTTGCATTATAGTGTGACATGTCCCTTCTATATGAAGTCTTATGTAGAGATCTTCTTGAGAGGAGGTTTCAGCCCATTCTTGTTTCTGCTGTAAAGTCCAAACATTTACAAAGCATATTAAATAAATTTACTTCTTGTTGGATTATGAATAAGCACTGAAATCATTTCTTTTACTATAAATCCAGGGTAGCTGTAAAAATTGACATAACAGAACCCTTAATCTTCAAACTTGAGTCAAGAATGTTTGATTCTTTTCCTGAGTGTGAGTCTTCCTAGTTTATATATGTATGCTGTAATTAAGCCACCAACTCATTAGATTAAAGTTATTTGGCATAGAGCAGTTTTAAAAGCTTTGAAAATCTACAGGTGCACTTAGATGATTTTATAATTCAGAAGAACGTGAACACGATTATCAGTGGTTATGACAGTGCTGAAATCAAATTAAAAGTCTTAGAAAATAGATTCACATGTGGGGCAGTATTGTTGTAATTATGTATGGGCCAATGAATTTATAAATCAATTATCCCCATTTTATAATTTTATGTGAATTTACGTAAAGCTTTAAGAAAGAGTTCAACACATAAATTTATCAGGACTCTAAATTTGTCAGATAATAGGAATACTAATATCAAACCCAAGACAATACTATGTAAAATGAATCTCTCTTCTTACTTTTCCTCAAGAGAATACAGGGCATTAAAATACAGATTTATTTGGATATAATTCACATAGTATGCTGTATGTCTTTCTGATTATCCTCTAACCTGTGCCTTTACAGGATACAATTGATCACTCTGCTTATTATCAATACATGAAAGAATTGCACAACATGAGTCTCCTTAGGACTGATTTGCTTCCCTTAGCATCACAGCTTCAAGAACCATCTATGTCCTATTATGTGTTACAACCCTTTTATCCCTTTTTATTCACAGAACCTATTCTATTGTTTGGTTGGACAATGTTTCATTTGTTCATTCATCATATCATAGACTGTAGTGTTGTTCTGTTTTTGCCTAATGAGATTGATGCTGCAGTGAGCATTAGTGTGAAGCTTTTATTTTAAAGATATAACTACATTTTTACTTTTCATCGTTTACGATTATCTCTTTGAAATGCATACAGTTTGCAAGCATCTTGACAAGTGGATCCATGTATATAATACAGCTTATTTCTTTGTGTTTTTTTTTCCTTGTTTTCTTATTATTACTATTTTCTTAATTTGCCTCCTCTTCCCTCCTGGATCCCTGAGTCCTCTCACCATTTTCCATTCTTCAAATTTTGGAATTCCAAAAATCTCCACATTATCATTACCATTTTTTTTATTATTTTTATTTCATTATAACTATTTTTATGGCCATACAGTGACACATCATTGCATTTTATGAACTTTTCCATTACCTTTTGTTATATATCAATGCTTAGGCTATTTCAAACTTTTCTATTCTACCTAAAATTTTGGTATTGTTTTCATTGGTAAAATCAACTCAATTGTTTCCATTTAGTGGCCCATATAATATTAAAACATACATATACTAATTACTTTTAAATGAGTGTTATAAAGAATATTTTTAAATGGGTATTATAAAGAATGCATGGATGGGTTTCTTTGTTACCCTTTTGGTTAACTTGCATTTTCAAAGTAAATAGACTAGGTAGGCAAATTGTATCTTTAATTATCCAAAGTCTATTAAATAGCTGTTACATAATGACTCATTAAAATCAGTAACAAAATGAAATAATGAAGAGGTTAACAAATCCAACAATAAGTGATGATAACATTGAGCAGAATTTTTAGAAAACTAAAGAAACTTAGATCAGAAACCATATTTCATATTAATTGTCACTCACACCTAAGCCCAGATAATAGGTACATCAATTAGAACTAATTTATAAATACATATATGTACTTGCATATGTGTAATTTTTGTAAGTGTTAATCTCAACAAGAGCTACATTTCCCAAGCATGAGATCAGAAACTGACATCAGGATCAGTGAAGCATATAGAACTCCAAACAGTCATAACCAAAATAAAACTACACCCAGACATATAATAATCACCATCCCAGAAATCCAACACAAGAATAGATTATTAAAAGCTGTCAGAGAGAAAAGACAGATCACTTATAAAGGAAAACCTATCAGAATCACAGCAGACTTCTCAGCACAAACGATAAAGTCAAGAAGAGCATGGAGTGAAGTATTCCAGATCCTAAAGCAAAATGATTTCCAACCGAGACTGATATATCCTGCAAAATTATCATTCAAAATAGATGGTGCATATTCTAAATTTTTTCTGATGCATTCTGTTTTGGAAATAGGTTAAAAGATTTTCAAATTGGATTTTTAAAAAACCTTTTTAATCTAACATTTTCTAAAAAAACTGTTTTGAAAAATTATTTTTAATACTGTTTAACATACTTTTTAGCATTTTTATGGGTTTGGACAATTAAAAGAAAGATGGTTCTTGCAATTAGAATTGTGAATGCACCAAGATTTAAGAGCTCACGAGGGTAAAGCAAAGGCTTGCAATAAAAGAAGAGTTTTCTTGCTCTTACTGAACAGTCTTCACGTGGAAGGTATCACAGGAGAATGTAATGTAACATAATTGAAAAGCTTGTGAGCATGCAGATAGAGCGCAGGTAATTGTTTAGTTGAATAGTCAATTGTAGAAACAGGAAACACATTCACTTCCAGGCTAAGATGCCATTTATTGCTCCTCCTTTGCACAACTATAAATTAGCTCCCATTTACATGGTATAGTTTTACAAATGCATTGATCCTAACGAGAAATCTGTGAAGATGATACACACTATTCCCATTTCACATATCTGGGGAGTGGGACCCAAGCAAGACATAGATCTAAATATTCCAAGTTTTAGACCTACACTCATTCCAGTAAGACCCTCTAAGAAAGTTCACTGAGCCCAAGCATTAGACAGGTAATTTAACTAAGATTTAATTTTATTATCGATTTTAAAATCACATTCTGAGGTAAGTTTATTTTTAACTTCTATATAGAGGACATTATGACTGTCCTAAATTCAGTAATATGTTTAAAGAATTATAGGGTATTGTATTATCATATTTCACAGTTCTTGGGGAATAGCACTTTATAAATAAATATCTATGGAACAGATTCATTATAGGCAACAAAAGTCTCCTATGCAGCACATAACCCAAGTATTTGGAAACTTCCATTCTTCTGCTTCATTAACAGATAACTGCATGTTAACCTGGTAGGTTCCACTGGGATCTCTACCTAGGGACCAGAATATTAAAATCATATTTTAAATGGATCATATCTTGGTCTCTTATCTGGTAACTGGACAGTTCTGATTTCCTGTTTATTCTCGATGGAGTCTACTTCTTTGAGGAAATGGAGGTGAGGTCTCATTTCCTGGATGTTTGTTTTCTGGGATTGCAATTTTCATCTAGAGTATAGTAGTAGCAAACCTAAGGCACCCCTGCCTGCCGCAGAGGGGTTTTTGTGTCACTGAAAGCTCTAAACTGCTTGCCATCACTGAGAAGGATGCCTGTGCACCTCTCACACCAACCTCACTTCTGCTCACAAGCAGGAGCTCATCCCACACTTTTAATCACTTTGAATTTCTTTTCTGTTGCCAGGTAGAAAAGAGGCTGTTTTCAGTGATTTGCCTGATTGAGTCAGGACCACCCAATCACTTGTGTATTTTATAATCAGGTGATTTGGGACTTTGCTTACATCTTCAAAACCGTTTCACTAGAGTTTGAATAAAATACCAATGGATTGGAATCTCATGCTATCATTAGAATTTTGGCTGTCATAACCCTAATATATGTGGCAAAAATTAGAGTGTTGTCATATACTTCTAAATGGATAAAACACTTTCCTTCAGATTTCCATGGTATGATTTAATTTCCTTGTATTAACTTCAGTGTGATATGTATTTTTATCCCTACTGCTCTTTGGACTCTGCCAATGGCGATGCCAGTGGCTGCCCACCAACCAAGTCCAGTCAGCGCTCTGTCCCTTCCTTCCCCTGATTTCCTATCATGTGTTTCCATATTAATGGTTCCTTGCCTCCTAATGTATTCTGTTTCGTTATCTATCATTCTAACACTTTGATGTGGTAGACTATAAATTCCCTGTCCTAAATGATGCACTGAATAACCCACTCCAAATGTAATAATAAGCAATACTTGTAAGACAGTGTGATATTTTAGGCACTAAGCATGTTGAAGTCATTACTTTTCTTGGGAAGAATTTAACAATCCAATGCATAAATGATCTAGCAACGTGTCCTCTAATCCTTCGCCAAACTCAAATTAATCATAAAAGGTAAACATTTGTAATTTACTCATATCATCGAGGCAATCATAATATAAATAAAAGCACTCATGCAATTGAATTCTAGAACTTCCTCAGAAAATGGTAAGAACGATGGAAAATTGAGCTTAAAATTTGGGGGATATCTTAATGGAAATTGATGACAATGTGACTTTTTCTGTAACTGTTAAAAATTTAAACATTAACCATATATATTGATCACACTTTATATATCTATTATAAAAAAACTGAATCTAGAAGAAAAATTTTATATTGTCTGTGTTCAATGATTCTTTTATGTTCTGAGCTTACATACAAATATCTTCAAAGTCTAGAGTACACAAACTTCAAATTTAAACCAATTGCTAACCTCACCTGATAAAAATTTAATATTTATGGATCAGTAATTTATCCCACTGTCTTTAACCAGAAATTATTTGAAGCAGATATACCTAAAAATACTGAAACCTGTTACTTTAGAGTGGTTTTAACTGCACATCACATCTGCATTAACTGTTATTGTTACCATGATATTTCAATGTGTAATTTTTCAAAGAGATTCTAATTAGCACATTTTTAACACACAAAGAGTATAGTACATCAGAAATTTGCATTCATTCAGGCAGTGGTCAAAAGTGATAAAACAGAAAGCTGGAAAATTAGCTTAGTGGTAGAGCACAT